GCCCGGCGGGCCGGCGCGGGGGGGCCCGCCGGAGCGTCGGGTGCCGCTCGGCTGTGTCCCGCCCGCGGCGCCCTCACCCTTCTCTCTTCTCTCGCGCTGCAGGACGGCTCCCTGCTGGCCTCTCCCTTTCTCAAGGGGTTTCTGGCGGGCTACGTTGTAGCCAAACTCCGCTTTTCGGCAGTCCTGGGATTTGTGGCGGGGACCTGCACGGGGATATATGCTGCTCAGAACTACGCTGTTCCCAATGTTGAAAAGACAATCCGGGACTATTTCAATTCTCTGAAAAAAGGCCGGGACTAGAAGGGAGCCCTTTGGCGGAGGTGACTCTCTGGAAGCAGCTCTTCTTGGTTAGACAGCAGGAGCAGAAGGCTCCTAGGGCTTTCGGGGACAGCAGTCACATACTCCATTCTTTTCCACTGGAAAAATGCTTTATAGCAGTTATGAGACATCAGCCAGTCTGATTCTGGGATATTTATTAGAGTATCGTGAGAGAGGTGATTGCCCTGTTAACCTATCATAGCTTGGAAGCGTCAGCAGCCGAGTGTTTGCCAGCTGCCTTTTCCCCTCACCTCTCCCCCTGTTCCCCTGTGGAGTGAAAGGCTGTCATCGTGTTCACCACCCATGCGCTTTTCCATCCAGTGATCGCTGTGCCCAAGGAACGTGCTTTGTGTGGCTTCCTGGGAAGGCCTGAAGCTCCCTCCTGAACGAAGAATAAAACTGTTCCCTTCCACTGCACTAGAAATGTAACGGCTAACACGTCTTAATCGGGCTCATTAAATTCATGGTATTTGATCTCTTCTTGAATGTTCTAGGGTGCAAGTCTGTCTGGCCTCCCTGCCCTGGCAGCAGCTTGCCCTGGCAGCAGCTTACCCTTGCTGGCTGACACCTGAAGATGGTAACATTGTCTGGTAATGCTGCTCGCTTTCTGTTCAGTCCTGCCAACTGGGTGCTTCGGAAAGGGCTGTGGGGACTGATGCTGATCTTGTCTGTAGCCATATATGGCTCTCACGCTCCCCTCCTAAATCTGTGTAAGGTGGATGGGAAGATCCCCTTCAGCTCCTCGTCCGTTGTGGTTCTTATCGAGCTGACGAAGCTGGTGTTCTCCTTCCTGTTCCTTCTGATCTGGGACCGAAAGCTGCTGGGCGGCACTGTGTCATGGTATCATGTTGCCCCCTTTGCCCTCTCTGCCCTGCTCTATGCTGCAAACAACAACCTGGTGGTTCACATGCAGCTCTTCATGGATCCCAGCACTTACCAGGTCCTGAGTAACTTAAAGATTGTCAGCACGGCGCTCCTCTACAGCCTCTTCCTGCGCCAAAGACTCTGCATGCGTAAGTGGCTGGCTCTCTTTCTGCTGACGGCTGGTTTTTCAGCTGTGGAGGCCTGCAGGATCCACGTGACCCTGGCAGCCCCTCCAGGATGCAGCTGCACATCACGCTGGTGGGCTTGCTGCTCATCTCGGTGTACTGCCTCATATCAGGTTTGTCTGCTGTCTATACAGAAGCTATTCTGAAAGCCCAGGCTCTACCTCTCAGCCTCCAGAACCTCTTCCTCTACTTCTTTGGGGTCCTGCTCAATGTGACTGGCCACTTCTGGAGCAGCACAGAGGGAGGTTTCCTGGAGGGCTTCTCCTCCTGGGTGCTGGTCATCGTGGTTAGCCAGGCTTTGAATGGCTTGATCATGTCTGTGGTCATGAAGCACAGCAGTAACATCACCAGGCTCTTTGTGATCTCCTGCTCAATCCTGGTCAACGCTCTCCTGTCCGTCACCCTCTTTGACCTGCAGCTCACCCTCTTCTTCTTCGTTGCTGTCGCAAGTATTGGCCTTGCTGTTCACTTGTACTATGGGGTCACGTAGCTGCTACCTTCCCGCCCTGCGTGCAGCACCAGGGCAGCCTTTAGTCATTATTCTCGAGTGTCATTGCCGTACTGGGGCTGGCTTATATTAGAAGCATAGCGCTGCTCAGACTGTCAGCCTCCCTGCCCTTCTGTGCGCATGCGAGGAGGTAGGGCAGCTGAATGCGAGTTGGAACAAGTGCACATGAGGGCTTCGGTCAGTGCAGGCAGTGCTAGCAAGGACTCCAGGAGAAAGAGCGCTGAAGGGACGGGTGCCCTGTCTGTGCTTCCAGGGGACTGGAGCCAAAAAGGGCGCCTTCCTTCTGTGCCCTTCTCTTTACAGGATCAAGTCCAAATCTTCCCTCCAAATCTACCTGAAGCTGGGGAAGGCAGCCTTCAGTTCCACAAAAGATGGGCTGGGACCTCTCTACCCCTATTTTAGCAGTGTAATATGTGTGCAAAGCAGCACTGGCCCCTGTGTCAGAATGCCCCGGGTTGGGGGAGCTGGGCCCTGCTCCAGCCTACTGCCCAGCCAGACTCCAAGTGCCTTTGGGAAGAGGGACTGCTCTGTGTCCTGGGGTTCCTGCTTCATTGGGTGGGCCCAGCCTCTAAAGCGGATCCTGAGCTCCCGGCACATAGCATACTGCATCATCCAGCCGCGTCCCCCCCCACCCCATCTTCTACGCACCAAAGAACACGTTCTCTCCCATGCCAGCCAACGCTCCTGGCTCAAATATTCCTCCTGCAGTGGTTAGCTCTGGTGTGCTGTAGGCTCACGTGAATGTTTACTGAGCCCTGCTGCACAGTCTGTCAGGCCGATGTTGCTCTGGTGCTCTTTTTATTCCTGTGACACTGTGGGATGGTGCTTTCCTGTGGCTGGGGGCCACATCTACCAAGTGTGCCCAGCTGATGGCCAGCTCTCATCTCTGGGGGAGCCTGGCACTGAAGTCCTTGTGTGGGAGGTGCCCTAGACTGGTCCATGCCACTTCTGAGCACCCAGAAAGGTGATGGTTTTCTCCCTGTGGGCTTTTAGAGGTACCTGTCCTCTGCACTGGGCTGTGTGCTGCTCTCTGGAGAGCCTTAGGCCATAGCCTGGAGTCTCTCCCCCACCTCCTCCCAGCATTTTTCCAGCCTTTAGCCAGGAGCTGGAGTCCCTGGGGCCACTTTGCCCTTCCTGCGTGCAGTGTGGCTGCCCACCACCGCTGCTCTGCCCTGAGCAGGCAGGGAATATGAGGATGCGGGGACTGTTTTGCCCACTCCCCACAGGGGAGATGGTACCTGGATTTGCATGAGCACTGCTGCTGGTGAATTCCTGGCAGGCAGAAGTTGGTGCTGGCTCTGCCAGGATTATTAAAGTTGCTGTTCAACAGCATGCGTGTGTTTGTCCTCCCTGCAGGAAGGCATCTGCTTTGCTTGGCAGAGCCCTACGGTGTCACCGTTCAAGGGGCCCGGGGCACATCTGAGCCTGACAGTGCTCATTGGTGAAGGAAACCCACTTTAATCCGTGTGGCGTCACCCCCAGGGCTGTTAAATCTCGCATGGTGCCCGCCTTGCTTCCGCTGCTGTGCTTGTCTGCATCAGCACGGTGCCTGCGGGGAGCCCTGCCTGCGCAGCTGTCTGGTCTCATTACCTTGCACGCCTTTGAGGCTCTGGCTTGGGGCGGCAGAGCTGTGCCCAGGCCTGTGCTCCTGCAGACACTTGCCCCCACTGCAGGGCAGGGTTTTCCTCATGGGGGCAGAGGGGTGAAAAACTCCATTCTGCCAGTGAGGGTCCTGCCCTGGCACCCTTGGCAGGGCCAGACTCCTGCAGCGGCAGCGCTCAGAAGCTAGAGCAGGCTGGATTGGAGGACTTGCCCTGGGGGATGGTTACAGCTAGGGCCTGCCCATTCCACTGGCATCAGGGCTGGTGGCTCACACGTGTCACAGGGTGTGGGCCCGGGTGGCAGGGATCTGTGGACATCTCCTCCTTCCTGCCAGGGCAGCTGTGCCCACCACCCTGGGGCTGTTGACTCAGGACGTCTGCGTGGCGGCACTGGCCAAACCTTGCTGCCTGGCTGCCCTCAGCTGCTGGTTTTGTGCAGAGAGCTCCACGGCATCCCGGAGCACCTCTTGCAGAAGTGCCCGGTACCGGCGATCCAGCGCCTCTGCCCGCTCCTCTGCCAGGTGCCGCTGGGCCTGAAACACCTGCAGAGACAACCAAGGCTCACGCATGTGGCCCTGGTGCTGTCCCTGCCCCCTGCAAGCAGGGCGATGCCGGCAGCCTGGACATGCGTCCCATGCCCACCTGCAGCGTATGCTGCCTCCAGGCCTCCATCTCCTGCCGGTGGCTGTGCAGCAGGGCCTCCAGGTCCTGTTCAGCCACCTCACGCTCTCTCTGTGCTGCCTCCAGGCTCCGGCTCAACACACCCCCCCCCCGCTGCCAGCGAGCCATGTCCCACTGCAGGGATGGGGGAGGGACAAGGACAGGGCAGCTCTGGGGTTTCCCAGCTGCCTGGGGCTCTTGCCTGCTGCCCTGCCACAGGAGAGCTGCTCCGGGGAGGTGAGGGAGGCTAGGCTTCCTGGTAGAGGGTTTCCTTCAGCTCCAGTCTCTCCCCCTGTCCTGCTCAGGGCTCTCCTCCTGTGCCCACCTCCCCACTCACCTCCTGGCCTGGTGCTGCCTCATCCCCAAGCTCCCTGAGCTCCCGCTGGAGGAGCAGGTGGTGCTGAGCCTGCAGGTGCTGCCTCCGGGCCTTGGCCTCAGAGAACTGGACCTCTAGGGACGGGCATGGCTGGGACGGGCATGGCTGGCACTGGCTCCTCGCCTGACAGAGAGCAGAGAGAGTTCAGACTGCGGCTGTGGGGCCGGGCAAGGGGCCGAGCATGTGGGGGACCCAGGGCTTCTGTTCTGAGGGACTGCAGCCCTCCACCACTGCACCCCTGCCCAGCTCCAGACACGGATCCAGCAGGGGCTCACTCACCATGCCAGCCCCGCTGGCTGCGCACGGCCATGGTGCTTCGCCCGGCAAAGACTCTTCCACCAGGCCCTGTCCCACGTTCCCAGGCGCCTGGCTGTTCCCTCTCTGGCAGTTCTCGGCGGCACTGGCTCCTCGTCGGGAAGAGAAGGAAAATGAGTGTGACACGGGGGGCTGGAGAAGCCAGTTTAAACAAAGGCACGAGCCCCTCTCCCAGCCCCCTGAGCAGAGGGGTTTCCCATAATGTAAAGCGATGCCTCATGCCCTTATATCAGCCGCCAGGGCACAGTGGCATGTCTCTGTGCCCATACTCTGTACCTCTCCCCTGCTCCAGGCTGGCTCCATCTGGGGGCTCTTGGGTCCCAGGCTGTTTGCCCAGTGCTGGGTTCCCTGCAGGGACCGGTTCCTGTGGGAGCAGGAGGGGACATTATGGGGGATGTCACCAGGATTCAGGGCTTCACCTGTGCCCAAGTTGTCCCCACACAGGAAGGCCTGGCCTGTGCCCACCTTGGCACCAGGTCGATGCATCTGGTTTGCCCTGAATGCCTTGGTCACCATCTGCTTCTTCTCCCACCTCTGGCTCTTCAGCACCTGGAAAAAGGGGCTGGGGGTCCTTGCTGGGGTGCAGGAGACCTCCAGGCATGGTACAGCTGCATGGGCATGTCCCACTCCATTGTCCCCCTCCCCAGGCTGGCCACTCCTGGCTCCATCCCCTGCCCTCGGTGCCAAAGGTTTGTGACACCAGGACACAGCCAGGACCTCATCTGGGGGGACAGTGCCACCATAGGTCCCAGTTGAGGCACATGGTGCCCAGAGCATCCCCTCACCTGCAGCTCCCGCAGGGCTCTCCGCAGCTGGGCCACAACTCTCTCCTGCTCTGGGCGGCTGGCTCCAGCCAGCAGCTTGACCCGCAGCCCTCGGATCTCTGCCCGCCGCACCGCCGCCTCTTGCTCGGGGTCCCAGTGGGTGGGTGAGACTGTCTTGGCCAGCCCCTTCACCCTCTCAGCCCG